ATTTTGTTTTCAGCATAAATCAATAGATAAGACCTTGAAGCACTTATAACAAATACCAGCTCTAAGTTCAAACCCAATATCGTTCTTCATCCGTTGACTTAGTTTTGTTCGTCATTTTTTATTCTTAGCTCGCATTTTGTCGTTGGATATTTTGCGCTTCTCAAAAAGACTTGATATCGCAATCCATCGATATTATCGATTGTATGAACAAAATTATTCATTTTTTTCAATTAGATTTGTTTACCGGAGGAGCATAGTCTTATTTTATATGATGTCAACGTTTATTGGAATTAAAGAAAGAGCACCAGGCTTCGAACATTATAATACAATAGTTTTAATTCGTGTGTTATTGAAATCAATTGAACAAACTGGTATCCATCAACTAGGAAAACAATCATGTACCAATGTCCATTGATCGTGGTTTAGATCTGAACGCTAAACAATAATGTCATTAGCATCCTTGAACTACTCTATATCAATTTGTAACGTACTATAATCTCCATAATTAAATATTATATTATGATTACATGAATATTATCGATAAATGTATGCAGTAGATATACAAGGAAAATTTCCATGATAGCTCGGTAATGAATGGCAAAATCGAATCATTTTTTATGCAAGCTTTGTCACATCGTTTTGATGTATTAAACCAGATTGAATAGTATATGTTCTTGAAAATTACGAAAAAAGCAGATCGTTGTCGAGATCTTGTTTAGGAATTGTTTTTTCAATCAATTCTGTGTGAAAAACCTATTAGTAAAACTTCTTTAAAAACTTCGATTTCATTTCTTCTTTAATATAACTGAACAGTTTGGTGAGAATGAAGAAGCATCGAAAAAGTTTTATCTCATATATCTGAGGCGTTGCTAATATCACAGTAGCAGTATTCAGGACCAAAGTCTTTTTGAAGTATTCAGCCTTATTGAACGAAGATTGAATCTTTGCGTTTGTCTCACATTTCCATGAGTGAAAAAAATAATCTGAACCATTATTCAACATTACTATCGATTTGTTTGATTTCATCGAATAGCATTATATACAGTTATTACTTTTTTCCTCCTTCAGCAACTTTCATCCTTGGTTAGATGATTATCTGAATAGTATTGTTACTGAAAATCAAATCTATGGCAGTAGCTTCCATTAAATTCTTATATAAAAATAAAAATGTAACTTCTTTTTGTACTCATCTACAAAATACGAGTTCTATACAGAAACATTTAAACTTAGACAAACTACCAAACAGAACCAAAAAAAAAGTTTTTCCTTGGATCCATTACCGCTACCGAACGAGAATAGATTAAAATTCTCTCATACAGTGATATAATTCAATCAAGAGTTAAAAGTATGCCGCTTTCTTAATTGTTGGAAAGAAATCAACCAAAATTGTGCGTCTAAAGAAAGTTAGAAACAAGTTTTCGATGGTGTAATCAACCTCGAATGATTTATTTTCTGGCAGAACACGTCAAGCTATATGAGAAAGTGATCTTCGAAAGTATGAAGCAGTAGTGCGAGATGGTTATGCAAAAAAGATTCACTCAAAATGATCCTATCTCGAAGAGCGAAGTGTATAGTTCATCAGAAATATGGCAAAATAAAGTCTGAAATGTTCTACGTTTACATTGTTCTCTAACAAGAAAGCAATCTTAGATACTATTTCGTCATGATGCTCAATTGTGGTTTAGTCACTTTCCTGATTGCTTACTCAGAGTATTTATTTGTAGATTATCTAAATAGGCTCATACAGAATTCGATAAATAACGTCTTTCGTATTTCTATTGAGTACTTGGAAATGTACGAAACTGATATACATATATAATAGTATAACAGAATATTCGACAAAATGAAACTAATAAATCAATGTAGAAAAACCAGTGATACTAGTCTTTTACTCTCAAACGAATGTGCATGTTCACACACTCGCACATGCACATCTCACAACCACTAACACCGACATCTCCACTCATCCTGTATTTCAGAGATTCGTTTTCTTTAACTCTGCCCGTTCGATGGTAAAGATTGTTGTAAAAACTCGCTTCATCGAGGTAACTATTTTCTATTTTTTTAAGATCTATTCAATTAAACTGTTTCATCAGAATTATCCATGAAATTTTTTGCTTACATACCGCAACTAGTGGGACTAGTCGGATACGAGTTTCTTGAATCTATGTTGCTTATTGACAGATGATTTCAACAATTGATTTATTGCGAAACGTTTGCAGCATTTGATTACAAAGGCGAAAACTTTTTTCCTGCTGCTCCGTCTCAAAACAATCCTACATAAAACGGCTAGGTAGCTAGGCCACACATGTTGGCACCCCGTTTAATTTTGATAAAGCCTTCATCACCCCAAGTGATGCCCCAGGAATTTTCCATCAACCAATAATCCGTTCCATTTTGTGTTCCGTAACCAATAATGACCATAGCATGATTCATATTTTCATGGGTCGGACAACCTGGAACATCGTAAATACCATATCCATAATGATCGAATTTGGCCGATGTTTGATGAAGAGCCGTGTCGTTACCTTCACGCTTTCCGGCATTGTAATAGATATAGATTGGACCCTGCTCATAGACAATTTGCTTCATGTAATTTTCATTACCTGTCGATAATTGGCGATATTGAAGGCGATGGGTTGCATTGTAGCTTAACACTTGACCGGTAAAATTTTGACATTTATCTTGTTTAGCACCTGTTGGTGTTGATGGATAATCTTTTTCCAGATTGAGTCGATCACCATTGTCATGGATATAATTGAGAACACCGACGAAACTACCACCTTCACATCCATTTTCATAGGAGCAATCGATCAATTGTTGTGGACTTAATGGACCACTAGTATTGTAGATTTGCACATAAGTTTTTTTCAAGGCACCGACCAAAGCAAAGGCGTAACACGAACCACAATAACGTTGATTTTTTATTTGCATGACTGCATTAGGTACTCGAGTTTGATTTCTCCAATCATAAGTATCTGGTACATTATTTATTTGTCGTTGTACTGCATTATTCACTGGCGTTTAATTAATCGGTTCAACGGCAATTTTTGCTCGTATTGCTGCCGATTCTTCATCTGTTCAATCGCTCATATGATTCAGTTTTAATTTAAACATTAATTGAGAATTATGATTACGGGCAAGAACCATTCTGAGATTTTCCTTGAAAATTTGCTTACGTTTCAGTTGATTGATGGAACCCAACAGTCGCGATTGTTGTGGTCGGTAATAGCTTTGTTGATAGTAGTGATGGGTGTGGGTGTGGGTGTGCGTTGAAGAAGTGAACAACGTCCACATTCACACCCACGCTCACACACCCACACCCACACCCACACCCCACATCCACATCCACATCCACACCCTGATAGAATTATGTACTCGCAAAAAAGTTATTAATTAAATGTTTTTGGATGACCCTATGGATCATTTTTGCGGGCAACTAAAATTTAACAAATTTATTAGATAAGAAAACGTTTTATTATCTAATTAGCTTTAATCCAATTATCACAAATTGTACATATTATATATGTAATTGTTCTTTTTCTTGTAACTTCATTTTATTTTGACTGACGAAGACAACAGTAGTTGTCGAAACGTCTCAATAATAAAAAACGATTTGTTCGATATTCTTTTCTTTATTATTTATCATTAAATGTATTTACCAAATTAAAACAAATAGTACTTATTCAAGTATTATCTGCTTTATCCAAACATAGTTATCAACTTAACCCGGTCAAATGTAGTATTTTTCATCAGCAAATCGATTATTTATCTCATACGATATCTAAACATGGTGTTAAACCAACCAATGAAAAAATTCAAGCGATTATTAAATTACGACAACCTACTAAATTATCTGAAACAAATAAATTTCTCGGTGCTCTTTCGTGGTATCGTAAATTTATACCCAAATTTGCAACAATTCCTATACCTATTCATGCTGTAAAAAACTTAACAAAAACAAATAGACACAAATTCGAATGGAGTGCTTCTCAATCTCAAACGTTTTCACAATTGAAACAATTATTAATTACTTCTCCATTATTTCTTGATTTTCCAGATGATAATTATCCTGTTATATTAACAACGAATGCATCAGAAATTGGTATTGGTGGTACATTACAACAAAATATTAATGGCGAAATAAAAAATTTATATTATCATTCTCAAGTTACATCTTCTACTCCACGACGATATGATCATATTGAATTAAAAGCATTAGCCATATGGTTATGTTTTCAACGAATGCGATCTTATCTACTTGGTAGATCTATTATAATTTATACTGATCATTATCCTTTATGCAAAATGATGAACTCATCGGTGAAAAATCGATGAGTAGATCGAATTTCTATTTTATTTCAAGAATATAATATCGAAAAAATTATTCATATTAAAGATCAACAAAATTGTTTAGCTGATTATTTATCTCCTCATTCAATACAAAATGATGAAGAAATATTTGATGAGGATTATGGCATAAGCATGTTATTTCAGGGGGAACTACCGGAGACGGTGCATGCTCCTGTCTATCAGTCTCCAATTATTGATGCTGTTGTTACGCGTTCAAAAATGAAACAAATAAAACAATAACAAAATGAAAATGACAAAATTACACCACCCGCTGTAAATGATATATCTCCGTCGTCAAGTAAAGACAAAATTGAACATTCAAATAAATCTCCATCACACTTAATTACGTCTAACAATTTTAATATAACTCAAATTAAACTTGAACAGTCAAAAGATTCAAATATTCAGAAGAAGATTAAAGAACTTATGCAACATCCAACAAAACATCCTTATGTAGTTACGAACGGTTTATTATATAAATTGGTATTAATGAACGTTGCTAGTAGTAAGAAGAAGAAAGTAATTTATTTACCTTCAGCCATTATCAATTCCCTCCTGCACTCATACCATAATGATCCGCTTAGTAGTCATTTTGGCATTCAATGAACATATTTAAAAAATTAAAAAATAAATTCTGGTGGCCAAATATGAAACAATCAATTATTCAACATATTCAACCTTGTTTACCTTGTCAACAACATAATATTAGTCATACGAAGAAAGCAGGTCGACTTAATCCAATTCCAACTCCAGAGGGATCATTTCAATTAATAACTATTGATTATTGTGGTCCGTTCAAACCAACACCTCGTGATAATCAATATGTATTATGTATTACTGATTATTTTACAAGATGGATGACTGTAATAGCTTTACCTAATTGTTCAGCACAAACCATGGCTCAAACATTATTTAATAATTATATTTGCCAATATGGTGTACCATTAGCTATATTATCTGATCAAGGTACTCATTTTAAAAATCAACTTATGGAATCTATAGCAAAATTAATTGGTTACAATCATATCTTTTCAAGTGTTTATCACCCATAAAGTAATGAGATGATTGAACGTTTTAATGCGACATTCATTCCTTAAATTGCCAAACTTCAAGATCTAGAAAGTAACAATTGGGATGAATTCTTATCACCAGTGGTATTTGCTTACAACATCGGCATCCATGCAACGACTAATTATTCATCATTTCAACTACAGTTTGATCGAGAATCATGTTTACCTACTGATGAACCTTCATCATCATTTACTTTCAATAAACCAAATGATTAATATGTACAATTGAAAAAAAAATTGTTGATAATACAACAACACGCATGTGATAATATTATTCATCGACAACGACAATACAAGATTAATTATGATAAACAACGTCCAGATCCACATTATGAAATCAATGATCCACTACTGATTAAAATTCATGGAATAAAGAAAAAATTAGAACAACAATATTCGATTACACCAAAAATAATTATTAGAAAACAACATCCAATTTATTGGGTCAAAGATGCAAAAATACAGGTCGAATCCAGAATACATGTTAATGATATTCGACCTACTCTTATTTTAAAATCAATATGATATATTATTGTTTAGGTATTTGCTAATATGATCATTAAATGTTAATGTTATGTTATGTTTATGGTAATTCGATGTTTGATCATCTTTGTTGTATGTTCAACGACTTAGTTGAACTAACATTGATTCATTATGCTTGTGAATATATTGATATTTTAATTAGCGCGCATTAATTATCAATATAATTATTATTTGCATATGGTTAGCATTAACAAATATTGGTTATTACAAAAACAAACAAATTACACACAGGAAATCTTCTCTTTTAGAAATGTTTCTGTTTTCAACAAACAAAGTTATTTATGTTTTAACTTTACACATATTACATATTTTATTAATATACTAACGATATCTATATATGCAATCTTGATCGGTTTATTCCTCAGAACGAATGATAAATTATATGATTTATTTGTTTACCTTATTTATATTATTCTTTTTTTCTCTTCACTTATTTTATATCAATTTGTTTAATCTTCTTTTCTTTAGT